AAACCCAAACATAGCCTCATACTAGCCTCTATGAAGAAAGTTAACTCTACTTCAGCTCAAACCAGCACACAACCCTTTCTGTAAATGAATCTTTCCTCATCCCCAATCTGAACCTCATTTCATTCTGAATTTTCTTTGTACAGTTTTTTTTTGATGTAGCTGCATGACTTGTACATTGGTGTTCAGCCAAATCCATAGCAAGATTTATGACCTTTAATTTATAATTATAGCACAAAGAAAACTGTTTTTTTCGTTTGAAGCATGGAAACATCCTGAATGAATTCAGGGTCACTAACCACTTCTAGGGTTCTTGATCATTGTTTGTCTTGCTGCTGTATTTGTGGGGTTTTTCTTTAATTTTGTGTTGTACTCTGAAGAAGTAGATGTAGAAAAGCAAATATTTCTTGTTTACTGTATTCAACCAGATATTAACCCTTGTTTTAAAAGTGAGATTCGTGTTACTGCCTTTTCCAGATAGAAACAGTGTTTAGTAGGACACTTTTTGCTGTTCCTCTGGTGCAGTAATGGAAAGATTTACAGGCCATGAAAACTCACTGGCAATGCTAGTTTTGGATCCATATTTCAGGAATGGTAGTAAACTAATTATTTTGAGGATTCCTACATGTGTTTTAATGTCGTTGAATATGGATAACACGAACAATTTGTTTGAAAGGTTGGGATAATGGACAGACAGTGTATTGTATAGATTGCGTTTTATCAAAGTATGAATGTCTGTGAAATTAGTTTTATTGAAGTCAAGACTATTGAAAATACTTATGGTCAAGATAACGCAATATTTTAATTATAGTAGCTATCAAGAAATGCAGGCAACTGAGTTTACTCAAAGTAGAAAAAACAGTCGTGTAAACTTAGTATGTGTCATGTAAACGTGTAGTTATATTTTCTCATGTTGTTTTTTTTTTTCCCCCCTGTAGCTGCAGCTTCATGAAAGAGGATTAAAACTACACCAAGCTATTTACAGTCAGGTAAAACATTGTATTGATTCGTATTTGTTTTGTGCTTGTTTGAATATCTTTCTTTTTAAAGTCTGTGACAGAGGAGGAGGGCCCTGAGCAGGGGAGCATCTTGCCCTTAGGTTGCTGATATTCCTAATTGTCCTATGGCAGTGGAAGTAAAAGTACATTTTGCATCCATTATGCTGAGACATACTAAAGCACGTGCTTTGATATGTGTTGTTTGTTGGGGAGGTAGTAATGGGAAGTGCAAGGCATGGTGTAATCATTACTGTCATCTGACAGTGATAGTTTCAAAGTCTTAAATAGACTTGAAGACTTAAACCCTTGTTATTGGAGACCACCCGTGAAACCTGTATTTTTTTCTGTCAGTAAGGGCTGTGCAGCTGAAGCCTGTATCAAATTAGTTCTGTTGCAGACTCACATTTCATCCTTCCTGCATAATACAGGCAGTTCTGGAGCTTTACAGCATGTGCCAGATTGACTCCAGTAGGACTAGTCTGCCTGATTGAACTTGGAAATACTAGGGAATAGAAAGGAGAACTGAACACATCCTGATTTTTAATCTAAGTGGTTTGTGATAAGGATGCTGATTGCACTGTGGGAAGTGAATGACAGCTCAGGTGGAGATCCTTCAGGTGTATTGGACTGTGATTTTTCTTTCAGGCCTGCAAGCTGTTGGCAGATGACTATGAGCAAGTGCGCAGTGCTGCAGTTCAGCTCATTTGGGTCCTCAGTCAACTTTACCCAGAAAGGTATGTGCTGCATGCAAAGTACTCAAAGTGTTGGCAAAGGAATCATCCTAATCCTGAGTTTTGTGCTAGTAAGGCTGAGGAGTAGCTGTTAGGGAACTGATGTGTACAAATTGCTGTTGCCTGATGAGAATGCCCTAAGTTTTGGTTCCTGCTATCTGTTACACATCCATAGAAGTTCAGCATAGTTGTTTCTTACTTGATGCCATCCAGCATGGAGTACAGTCAACAAACTGATTTGTGTGTCTCTATGTTAGCATCGTCCCTATTGCTTCCTCTAATGAAGAAATTCGCTTGGTTGATGATGCCTTTGGAAAAATTTGTCATATGGTTAGTGATGGTTCCTGGGTTGTTAGAGTACAAGCTGCAAAGTTGTTGGTAAGTTGCATTCTTTTCTTCTTTATCTGAGAATAGTTCTTCTTAGGTTACTCTTTTTATAGATATTTGAGGAGAAATGGAAGTAAGTTTAAAACCTGTATAGGTGAATTTTTGCCAGAATTCTGAGATGAAAAAAATGAGAGAGGTTGAGGAAACCCAAAAGTTTCTCAGCTTGTTATAATTCCCTGCCCTTACTTCTCCAGCACTGGGCATGCAAACCAACTGAATTCAAGAAAAGCCACATTAACCTCAGTGGAAAAATAAAATGCTCTGGCTGTTTTAAGTACACTTTCTTTAGAGTCTGGTGTATGATAGCATCAGGCATTGTGTAAAGCTGTTAGAATAACTGGATAAGGTTGGACATCATGTTGGGGTAAGTCAGGAAATTATATGATGCAGTTAAGAATAATTCTGTTTCTTATGGTTTTTTTTTTCTTTAGGGTTCTATGCAACAAGTTAGCTTCCATTTCTTAGAGCAGACCCTTGACAAGAAGCTCATGTCAGATCTGAGGGTAAGTGTTTGGGTTTGTTTTTCTGTGTGTAGTTACTAAACTCGCACAAGAGGTATGTTTGTGTCAAGTGTGTTGGTTACCTTGTCCTTGCCTCAGGGCTGCTGAGAATTAGTTGATGATGACAAGTTTTCTTTTAGATTAAAGTCAATGAAGCAATTGCTAGTTCTAGATTTCATTAGCTGAGCATGCCATAAACAGCTCTAGGCTATTCAGGTTTTGCAGCAGCTGAGAGGTAAACCTTTGTGGTGTTCTGATAATCTTTGGGCTAAAAGCTTTCTTTGTTGTGTACAGAAGGATTGCATCCTAGTTTTTGGAGCAAGCTTATGGAAACATCCTGCAAGGTCTGACCAGTAGACATTGACATTTCAAGAGACATGAGTAGCTAAAGGCTGCTGAGCCCTAATGAGCAAATTTTTTTCAGTAAAATTCCTTCCTTAAGCAACATGCTTGAGTTTATGATGTTCAGTTTTTCTGTCTACAAAAGAACGGTGAAGCTGAAGCTGCTAGTTTTTGTGGGCTGCTTTGTAAAGGCTGTTGAAGTGCTGCACAGCTTTATTTAGAGTGGGGGGAAAGGAGGTGGACTAGCAAACATGCTGAGTGAATATCTCATTTTACACATTGCTGAACTCTGGATAGTATTGATAGTCATTACAGTATTTAATTATGATTTAACAAGTTGAACTGCAAAGTGATAGCATCTGTTTTTGCAGATCAGTTATTGGATACTTAAATAGGCCTTTGTTTTGACCCACTGTGTTCTTGCAATGGATGTTATTTATATATGTTATTTATGTATAACAATGGATGTTATTTATTATATGTTAGTTAAAATACACTTATTATGCTTTCCCTGTGTCAAAAGTACAGAGTTACTGGCAATTAGAAATAGCCATAGAAGAGAAGGTACTATTTGCTTTTCTTAGCATTTATGTCTGCCAGTGCCTAGGCCTCCAGCTCCATCTATTTTCAGATCCAATACAGCCATTTAATATTCTGTTCAGTCATCTTTTAAAGTTTACCATGGTTGTAACTGAAAAACCTGTTTGGGCAGAGGAAGCGTACTGCACATGAACGAGCCAAGGAACTCTACAGCTCTGGGGAGTTTTCAAGTGGCAGGAAATGGGGAGATGATGCTCCCAAAGAAGAAATTGATACTGGTGCTGTAAACTTGATTGAATCGGGAGCTTGTGGGGCTTTCGTTCATGGCCTGGAAGATGAGATGTATGGTAAGTGTTAACTTACTATGGAATAGCTCAAGGAGGAGATGTGTGCTGGCTGATAAGCTTTGGGTTTTAGTTGGGTTTTATTTTTGGTCAAAATAGATTACTTGACCATTGTGTTTGGGTGTTCTTAGTGAATTGTGAACTTTGGTATGGTGGTGGTTTATTCCATTGTGGTCTCTGATGTGGCAGTTGTTTCATCGCCTACTATAGTGTTGCACAGAATTTTAGACAGAAATGTTCAACTAAGTAGCCAAAACCAAATAGCTTCCTATAAATGGTAACATTTTAGTAATATATTTGGTAAGAAGTGGGTGGTTGTGTTATGCAGAAACCCACTGGGGTTATTTTTTTTATCCACTCTAACAGTTGCCCATGGTTCTAAATTGGCTGTGTTAGTTGCTACTGTTTGAAATTGGTGTTTTCTCAGCAGGGAGGAAAAGTCATAGAATCATTTAGGTTGGAAAAGACCTCCAGCATCATTGATTCAATTGTTAACTTGAGCACTGCCAAGCCCACCACTAAACCATGTCCCTAAGTGCCACATCCACATGATTTTTGAACACTTCCCAGAATGATTACTCCACCGCTTCCCTGATCAGCCTGTTCCAATGCTTGACAACCTTAATATTTTTCCTGATACCCAATTTAAGCCTTCCCTGGCATAATTTGAGGCTGTTTCCTCTTGTCCTGTCACTTGTTACCTGGAAGAAGAGACGATCCCCACCTGGCTACAGCCTCCTTTCAGGTAGTCATAGAAAGCAATTTGGTCCTCCATTCCTTTCCAATAAGAGCTTCCTTTTCTCCAGGCTAAACAGCCTCACCTTCCTCAGCCACTGCTCATCATTTAGGGTTGGACTCGATGATATTTGAGGTCTCTTCCAACCTGGTTGATTCTATGATTCTGTGATCAGATTTGTAATCATTCATTTTGTAAATGTCACAACTTCCATCCTAACAAAGGTTAGAACCAGTGAAAACAAACCCACATATTTTTCAAAGTATTTCATTATCCTACAGCTGCAACAAACACAAGTTTTCTTATTCTAATTTCCAACCCAATTTTATCCATAGCCAATTTAAACCCATTTGTTCTTAGCCAGTGGTAGGTTTCAGATTAAATAGGTTTTGTTTCTCTTGGGGACTGTCTTCCCTAATGAGTTAATAGGTTTCATTTGTAAGAGGTGAAGAGGCTAGGCTCCTTTTAGCCTCTGGTGCTTTAAAAGCTTTCCTCTTGGCTAGGTAGAATGCATTTTTCTTGAACATCAGTGGCCAGATCTGTATGTTTTCAGGTACTTAAATTTCAGGTGAGGTCTTGTTTATGCTTTTATCAGTGTTACTGATAGTTATTTTTTATTACTGAAATACATATGTCCTGAGGCCACATTTACCTATTCTAAAGTGCTGTTGTATTGGTCTCCTGTAGTCTTCCTATGATGGACTTGAAGGCCATAGTCTCTTTCCAGCAGATTATATCTCTTCTTTTGAAGAGCATGAATTGTAGGTGTCGAACTGGAACACAGATGTTCTTGGACTTGTACATTTGGCTGTAGCATTGACCATGTTGATGGCCTCAGGAAAGTCTGTGTGCTACCCTTCCCAGCACAAGTTTCCCATAGATGAAAATTTATATTTCTTAAGTCTATTGAGAGTGGCTGCTATTTGCACAGAACCATGAAAATGCCAAGCTCTGAATGTTATTCCTTAATTTGCCTTTAACGATACTGGAAGGAAGAGGTTAAATTAGAAAGTACAAAACCACCATAACAAAAATATTGCTGTAGGTCAGGTTGTAAAAGTTGGTTTATTGTTATTGCATGACTCCTGCAAATAAAAGCATGTTTTCCTAATAACTAAACTATTCCTGAAGCTTAAAGTGCATCTTTTTCTTTTTTTCTTGACTGACAGTAAAATATTTTTCACTGCTTCAGTCCATTGACCTGTGAAACATGTTCTCCAGTTTCTTGTGCCATAGATCTTGTGGCAGTCTGTTGCTATTGAGGAATGTGGGTAAAATGGACTGATGTGGAATATAAAGAATGTAGATCTCTCCATCCACTGCAGCATTTTTGAATGCTGCTGAGCTCTCCCTGACTTGCTTCATTTTTTTTAATCTCATGTTGTAACGTCAGTCTGAATTAGTGCGTCAGCTTATGAGAGCTATATTGGCAAAATATTTTTCTTCTCTTAATGCCTTGGGCTTAATGACTGCAGAGACTCCTAGTTGTGACAAAAGCCTCGTTACTGAGGAACGAAGGCAGAGGCCTTGTTGGCTTTGCATTTTTTACTTAATCTGAATCATGGGGAGTCAGACATATTCTGTAAGAACAATAGGTCTAAAAGCTACACAAGAGTTTAAGTAAATGTTTTCAAGATGAGCTAATTTGAATGAAAAACAGAAGTATGTTTAAAACAATAATGTTTGCAAGACATCAGATTAATTCTCATTTTTATGATCCTGGCACATAAATATTATAGAAGCTAATGAGGGTGGCTGTGGGCAAGAGAAATTCATCTCCACTTAAGCTTGTTATATTTGAGTATTCATCAAATTCCTGCAATGTTTTGCAGCATATATATACTCTGGATGCTTTCTTAAGCTTTTTTTTTTTACTTAAATTCGAGTCATTTTAATAATTGGCTGTCACCTTTTTCCTTTCTCTTGAGGAATCCGAAGTCACGAAGCAGAGGAATTTCATTCTGTTTACTGCCAAAATGCTGATTCTCTAGGGCTTTTCAGCAATTCATAAAGTGCTACACAGCAAGTTAAAAGTGCAGCGGATGCTCCAAACACTTAGAATGTCAGGAAGAATAAAACAACCAGAGTTTAATTAACTATATTAGTTTGCTTAAGACTCTATGGTTAATGCTGCACTTGCAAGACACACTATGAAATATATAATATTTATTGCTGGGTTAGAGACCTATTTTTCAGCTGGAGATCCCTCTTGCAAGTGCTTAGGACCGCAGCACGGGCTGTATTAGAGGTGAGACTTTTGGTTTGAAGGCTTACCTGGGGAAAGGTCCCCAGTGGCATTGGGTCCCTGCTTTTAGGCTGCATTGTCCTCAGCATTTCCTTAGCATCTCCTGTCCTTAGCCCAGTCCTTGAATAGCATGAGACCTGGCCATTGGGTGGTGTGTGCTTTTAAACAAGGCAATCCTAATGAATTTGCAATTGATTCCCTCCTTCTCTCTTGACAGAGGTTCGAATCGCTGCGGTGGAAGCCCTCTGCATGTTGGCTCAGTCCTCACCTGCTTTTGCAGAGAAGTGCCTGGATTTTTTGGTTGACATGTTTAACGATGAAATTGAGGAGGTGAGATTGCAGTCAATACACACAATGAGGAAAATTTCCAACAATATCACGCTGCGGGAAGACCAGCTGGATACTGTGCTGGCTGTTTTGGAGGTAAGAAATTCTTGAGGAGGGGGAAAAAACTTCATTTCTGCTTTCTTTGGGGTCCTTAATGATGTGCTGCTAAGCAATCCCTTCCTTTGAGAGCAAATCCACCATTTTTGTTGGGTTTTTTTTGCTCTTCATCGAACACCCCCAAAGGCTCCTAAGGTATAGTAGCTTATAATCCAGAGAACAACAGATTTCTTTGAAACAGATGGGGTTTAGATAAAAACTCTTCCATTGATCACTCTGTTCTTGCCTCACATGTTTCCTTCTGTCTTGTGTTATGGTCCAGCACTCAGTGCCCCTTTATATTGAACACAACTTCATTTTCTTTGATTCTTTTGTTCAACTGCTTTGGCTACACCTTTGGCCACAAAGCAGAGCTGGGGCATGGACCTGAGGCCTCTCTTCTGACTGTTCAGAGAGTCTGTTAGTCTTTTGTGGTATAATTTTAGGGTTTTCCAACCAGCATCCTCACAGTCTGTGGTCAGCCAGGATTCAGGGGACACCATGAGTCAGTTGCTGCTCATGGTTGATGATCTTGATCCAGGAAGATATTTTGGCTGTCTGAATGGTACTGTGTCAAACCTCTTCCCCTCAGACCTGATTTATTTGCTGAGCTATAGCCCCTGAGGTGTGTTTTCTTAAACCTGCTGGATGTGGTAGGTAAATTTCTAGTTCTTTTGGGAAGTGTCCCAGCCTTGGGAAGTCCTGCAAATCCACTGTTTCTGTCTCTTCACCTCCGTCTGCCTGACCCAGGGCAGCAAGGGCTTCTTTCAGGTGTGCCCCAGGAAGAAGCAAACTAACTAAACCTATTTTATCAGTCTGTAACAAATGCTGTGGAACATGATCTGAATTTATGAGCATAACAATGAGCTTTAGGTGCCTCACATTTTTATGAAATTACTTCCATTTGTTTCAATTGGGGATCTGTGCATGAAGGTATGAAAATGTCCAGGTTATGATGGATTCTTCTGTGCTTGCTTATCATGAATGATAAATCCTACATCTATTGTGGCTTATAATATAATTATTACTGGGTATTAGGATAGTTTAAGTGTGGGAATTACTAACATTTTCATGGGTTTGTCTGTCTCTGAAAAGTGCTTCCTAGCTTTTCGTAAAATCCATCTTCCAGTACCAAAATAAAGGATGTGGAAAAACAACGTTAACTTTGGTGCCTAAATTTGTTCCAATATTGTAAATATGGAACAGATGGGTGTGGGGGTAACTTCTGCTTTCACCCCACTGCTTTGACTTTATCTGAATAACTCTACCAGCTGCTACTTGCTTTTCTGACCAGACTCTGGATTTTGCTTTCCCTGTGGTCTGTGAGTTTCTGTTGTGTTGTGCTCATCTCTGTCCCTTCATGGTCTTCTGCCTTGTTTGTCTCTGTACTGCACTTCCAGTGGGCTGTATTAGCAGTCTGGAGTATTTCACAGGCATTTCAGTGCAGCCCTTAGAGTTTGTCTTCTCTTTGGTCATAACCTGCTTTCCACCACCAAAACAAGGAGAGGCTGTGCTTTCCCCCTTTGATCATTTGTGTGTGTTGGCCATAATTTAAGAGCCTTTACAAGAAGTTTGCTATTTCTTCTTTCATGTAAGACAATGATGAATGAGCTGTTCGTACTTAGCAAATTATAATTACAAAGAAAAAAAAATCCACCATTGAAAAGTCTCCAGTTCTTGTATCCTATCAAATTGTCACATTGTGTCCAGCAGTGCCACACAAATGCTGATAGCAAGGGAGTATAATGTGCTGTTATGGAATGTCAAGGTGGTTTTTGACAGAATGAATGTAATTAATTAAACTGGAGTTAAGCCACGGCACTACTAAAAATAATTTAGTCTGTCCAGCCATTGACATGTCCTCAATGCTTATTGAGACCCACTGGGGCCTGGTGACCAGGTTAAAGGCTTGTGGAATTACCCTCCCTATGTTGAACAATAAAGTTGAGACCCACTGGGGCCTGGTGACCAGATTAAAGGCTTGTGGAATTACCCTCCCTCTGTTGAACAATAAAAGACTTCTCCAAAGATGATAAAACCATCATTGGTCATTGTTTTACTGAGTTACTACCCAACACCTTCCTTTTCTCTTACTGCCTATGCCTGAGGGCATATTTCTCACGTCACCACGTCATGATGTTTGCTCTGCTCAAGAAAGTCAGCAATGAAGCAGTTCACATTCATTCCAATAAATGAAGCACGTGGTGGGATGAGACCGGGAGACCCTGCAGCAGTTGACTGGTCTGTCACTTCATCTGTGCTTAGCTCTGGACACTGGAAACATGCCTTGTTTTTCACAGGCCTCTTTTACTAACTCAGCCAAGGAACAGAAACTGCTACCTTTAAAGTAAATGTGTGTGCAGGCACATCTCTCTCAGCACTCAATGGTGTCTGGGTTGGGTTTTTACTTTAGGATTCTTCAAGGGACATTCGGGAAGCACTTCATGAGCTGTTGTGCTGCACCAATGTTTCAACGAAAGAAGGCATCCATCTTGCACTGGTGGAGCTGCTGAAAAACCTGACCAAGTATCCCACAGACAGAGAATCCATATGGAAGTGAGTGTGTTCAGTGTCCTTATGTGCCTACTTATTTCCCTATCCCTTTTAATAAGTGAGGTGCTAGGAAATACTGAGCTCGCTAAGGAGGTAACAGGTATTGCAAGTACACAACAATCCTGTTACTCTGTAAATATGTACATTTTCATGACTGGTATGGAAACTCTGTTGTTCTTGCTGTTGATACTTATACTGGGAATGCAAAACCGATGACCACTCCTGGAAATATCCCATTATTGCAAGCACTCAAAGGATTCCCAGAAAAGATTAACTCAGCCTTCGGTTTAAAACCTCACCTCTTCTACACAACTGTTTTGGGCTTACTTGACACTGTGTTAAGTAGTAATATTTGCTAGCAGTTGATTATATCAGTTATGACAAGTGGATTGGCCATGTGGCATTGTGCTATTGGAGAGAATTGTTCTGTCTAAGCAAAAAGAGTGAATGTTTGTGTGGGATCTATTTGGTTGTTTAATGGAAGCAACAAAGGAAGTGATGCTCCTGCACACATGGTTTGAGATGGAGTTCTTGAGTATTAATGGAAACACTTATTTTAGCCTGCTTTGACTTCCAGTGTACTATTACATTGGTTTTGGAGTTTGGTGGAGGTTAGAGGTTTGGGGGTTTTACCTCCTTCCTCCCTTATTTCTGAAGCAAAAAATACACTCATTTGTTAGCATTTAGTATAAAAACTTTTCCTGGGTTGTATAACTCCAGGTGTTAAGTATTTCATAGATAGTTTAAATACGCAATTTTTATAACTGCATGCTTTTTCAAGTTGTCCTTTCAGTTTTCTTGGATCCTATCAAATATTAGTGAAAATACTCAATTGTGAAGAAAGGGTAAGCCTGGACAGCAGGATTTTGTTGCTGACCAATGTCTCAAAGTGCTGCTGCAACATGAAGTAATAATGCATTTTAAATGTTACTAGGAAGTACTTCAATCTGTATTTTCAGGTGCTTGAAGTTCCTGGGAAGCAGGCATCCCACTCTGGTGCTTCCATTAGTCCCAGAGCTGCTGAGCACACATCCGTTCTTTGACACTCCGGAGCCAGACATGGATGACCCAGCCTGTATCTTTTTCATGAAGTCAGTTATGATTTTGACTGTAGTAGGTTTTATTCGTATTTTCCTGATGCTCACATTTCTTAAACTGTGTCAAACTGTAGCAGACAGTCCTGTAGCTATTTCTGAATCTTTTGCTGCTTAGTTTTATTACTCAGCAAGTGATGGAATAATTAGCTGGAACCATCTTCTTACATACCAATGTACTATAATTGGCCTTATTTTTTAATGCTGTGATGTATAATCAAGCAATTTGTCAAGGTTTGGGCTTTGTAATGAGTCCTTTGACATGAAAACATTTGTCTAGTTTGCACTAATTCTGAAGATATTTTGGCCATTAAATAAGAGGAGTGGTTTTCCTCATCTGTTTTCTTTTTAGGTAAACCTTTTGCTGTCCTCACTGTTGTGCAGTGTATAGAACAGCACCATCTCTTAGTACAGCACTGCCTGAATCCCCATAATACTTTGAATTTGTCAACAATTTGAGATAATTCAAAATCAGAAATGCCTGTGTTGAGGTTAGCTCTTCTGGAGCTGTGGAATACAAACTATTCTTATTACACCATTATCTTCAATGATAGGAGATGTCTTGGAAATGCATTTTTCTGTTGTTCTTCTCCTTTCTTCCCTTCTATGTGATTACGGAATGTAATGTTATTTCTGGTGCATGCTGAGACACATTGGAATGAAATCTTTCTCTAGAAGGTGCTCTTTATTTTTCTCACCAGTCACAGGCCATTGGCTTGAAGTTCTGTACAGATTAAATAAATACTTTGTGAGAATTGAAAAGGGTTAGAATCAGGTGGAGAGAAAGATGAATCCATAATTAGATGGTTTAGTAATAATTTGAGTAAAGTTGTCCTCCGAGTTAAGAATTGAAGGAACATTGCAGGTGGGAGAAAGCTGTTGTTTAAATCAATGCATCTGCCCCGAACCATGGATTATTATTGTAGAGAATGTTTTGGAGGTAACTTGCCACCAAATTTTAGAGACATTCTATGTGAAGACAGGCCTGCAGGCCAGAAACTAGAAAGTAGACCTGAATGATATGCTTCCAGGGTAAACTGATAATTAAAAACATGGTTTTGTTTGATTCAAAGCACCTGGCAAATTTGAACTGGGTTAGTTAAATATCTTCAGCTGAAGATTTATAAAGGATTTTGAGTAAAGAGGAGAAAGTGATTTGCAAAGTGGAAACCTTTTGGCTTGGCAGCCCATGGATGCAGAAGATTTTTCAGGAGGTGAAGGAGTGGATTCACTCCCTTTTATGGCTGAACCTGCTTCTTCCCTGAGTGCCCAAATGATTGTAAACTTTGCTTTGGGGTCCTTTCATGCTCTCCTGTTAGAGAGCTTATGCTTGGAGTCAGCCCTGTTGCAGGTGTGTGCCCCAGGCTTTGGGGCTAACTATGAAAGCCTTTGGCTGCCCTCTGTTTCCAGGGCTCTCAGACTGAAAATGTGGTTTGTATTCCAGAATAATCTTTCTGTGTTTGATTCTTTGGGTTGCTTTTAGTCTCTGTAAGAAGGATGTTTTTCAGGGCATCTTAAGAATTGCAGCAATTTTCAAAGACTTGGCAATAAATATATAATTTTAGATGTCATTTGGGTAGTAAACAACTTGCGCAACCTGTTCTAGTGGAAGGTGTCCCTGCCCATACCAGGGAGTTTGGAGCTAGACAGTCTCTAAGGTCTATTCCAAACCAAACTGTTCTGTGATTCAAACTGATCAGCACAGTGTAAGCTTTGAGGAAGAGTGAAACTTCACCTAATGCGCATGTTCTGCATTTGTGATGCTTTCCTTAGTGTTGCCTCTGAGCTGTCCCATGTTGGCAGTAGCGTGCTTCCTCCAGTATGGCCCATCCTGGGTGTTTGCACTTTGGACTAGGTTTTCATCTGCTCAGACAGCTGTTTCTTTGGGTTTTGCTCAGTATTTTCCAGCTATAAAGAATTTTCTAGACAAATCCCAAGCAAAGAAAGGGTTGTTGAGTTGCTGTTGTTTTAAATTCCCGTCCCCAAGGAGCTCTTTTTGCTGTTTGTTTTTCTTTAACAATCCATTTTCAATAGACATTGCTGTTCTGGTTCTGATTTTTAATGCTGCTAAAAGTTGCCCAACGATGCCTGCCCTGTTCTCTGACCACACGTTCAGACATTACGCGTATCTTCGGGACAGTCTCTCGCATCTGGTCCCTGCGTTAAGAGTAAGTTGAGCCACTTTGATTTGTATTTTGCTACTCTGTTACAATTATTGCTGGTCTTTTCCATGATTGTCTGTATGTAACACTTCAGTTCCAAAAGTTTTTTTTCTCCCAAGCACCACCATTCAGATTGACAATGGTGAGGATAACAAAGTTGAGAACATACGGATTAAGATCAAGGGAAGGCCAACAGAGCAGACATCACGGTGGGAGTCTGTTATAGACCATCCAACCAGGATAAGCAGTTAGATTGATAGGATTTTCTACAAACAGCTGGCAGAAGTCTCACAGTCACCAACCCTTGTACTTGTGAGTGACTTCAGTTTGCCAGATGTCTGCTGGAAATACAACACAGCTGGAAATACAACACAGCAGAGAGGAATCAGCCTAGGAGGTTCCTGGAGTGTGTGGAAAACAACTTCCTAACACAGCGGGTAAATGAGCCGACCAGAGGAGGTGTACTAGACTTGGTGTTTGAAAACAAAGAAGGGCTGGTGAGGGATGTGGTGGTTGGTGGACATCTTGGACATAGTGATCATGAAATGATTAAGTTTTCAATAGTGGGTGATACAAGGAGAGCTAGCAGCAGAACTTTTACCTTGGACTTCTGAAGGGCAGACTTTGACCTGTTTAGGACATTGATTAAGGGAGTGTCCCTTGGGAGTCAGTCCTGAAGGGTTAAGGAGTTCAGGAAGGTTGGGAGTGTTTTAAAAAAGAATTGTTTAACATTCAGGAGCAGGCTGTTCCTATGTGTAGGAAGTCAAGTTGTCAAGGAAAAATACCAGCCTGGTTAGACAGAGAACTTAGGCTGGAGCTTGGGAAGAAAAAGAGAATGTATCATCTCTGGAAGAGAGTCAAGCAAGTTGTGAGGACTATAAGGATGCTGAGAGGTCATGTAGGGAGAAGATTAGGAGGGCCAAAGCCCAGCTGGAACTTGATTTAGCTGTGAAAGTCAAGGACAACAAAAAAGTTTTTATAAATATACTGGGGGCAAAAGAAGGGTCAAGGAGGGTGTCCATCAGCTGATAAATGCAGAGGATAGTGCAGTGATAGGGGATGCGGATAAGGCAGAGGTACTCAATGCCTTCTTTGCCTCTGTCTTTAATGTCAAGACCAGTTGTCCTCAGAATACCCAGTTCCTAGAGCTAGAAGTTGGTGATGGGGAGATGAGCAAAGCCCCCATGATCCAGGAGGAGACGGTTAATGACTTGCCTGATCAAGTCCAACCAACATGGATTTATTAAAGGAGGTCCTGCTTGATCAACCTGATCTCCTTCTATGACCAAGTGACCCACTTAGCAGAGAAAGGGAAGGCTATGGACATGGTCTATCTGGACTTCAGCAAGGCATTTGACAGTCTCCCACAGCATACTTCTAGAAAAACTGGCTTCTTGTGGCTTGGTTAGGTGGACTCTTTGATGGGTAAAAAACTGGCTGGCTGGCCCAAAGAGTTGTGGTTAATGGAGGTTAATGTGGTTAAATTCAATTGGCAGCTGGTCAGTAGTGGTGTTCCCCAGGGCTCAATATTGGGATCAGTCCAATTTACCATCTCTGTTGATGATCAGGACATGGAGATTGAGTGCACCCTCAGTAAATTTACAGATGACACTGTCCTGGTTTTAGCCAGGATGGAGTTAATTTTCTCAGTAGCTAGTGTAGTGCAGTGTTTGGATTCAAAGTGATAATACACTGTTGTTTTGTTTTTGCTAAAGTGTGTTTATCCTAAACCAAGGACATTTTCTTGCTTGTGTCTTATGCTCTGCCAGTGAGAAGATACACAGGAAATTGGGAGGGTGCATAGCCAGGACACGTGACCTGGACTAGCCAAAGGGATATTCCCCACCATGGCATGTCATGTCCAGTCTATAAGCAGGAAGGGCCGATCCGGGGGGAGGTTCAGGGGTTGCTCCGGTCTGCGGGTGGTGAGCAATTGTATTGTGCATCACTGATTTTGTTCTTTTTATTATCCATTAGCATTTTAGCTCATTCTACTCATTATTATTAAACTGTTCTTATCTCAACCTACATATTTTACTTTATTTGTTCTCCTCTCCCCATTACTCCGGGCTGGGGGGGAAGACCGGGGAGGAGGGAGTGTAAGCAGCTGCGTGGTTCTTGGCTACTGGCTGAGGTTAAACCACGACAACACTAAGTTGAGTGAGAGTGTTGATCTGCCTGAGGGTAGGAAAGCTCTACAGAGAGACCTTGACCAATTTGGTCAGTGGGCTAAGGAGAGCAGCGTGAAGTTCAATAAAGTGAAGTGCCATGTCCTGCACTTGGGAAACAACAACCCCATGCAGCACTACAGGCTGGGGTCAGAGTGGCTGGAGAGCTGATCATGAGAAAGGGACTTGGGAGTGCTGGAGGAAAGCTGGCTCAATATGAGCCATCAGTGTGTACAGGTGGCCAAGAAGGCCAATGGCAGCTTGGCCTCTCTCAAGAATAGCAGGGCTAGGGAAGTGGTCATCCTGCTATACTTGACATTGCTCAGGCCACACCTCGAGTACTGTGCCCTCAATTAAAAAGACATTGAGGTGCTGGAACATGTCCAGTGAAGGGCAGCAAGGCTCATAAAAGGTCTGTAAAACATGTATGAGGAACAGCTGAGGGAATTGGGTTTGTTTAGCCTTGAGAAGAGGTGGCTCAGGGGTGACCTCGTCGCTCTCTACAACTGCCTGAAAGAAGGTTGTAGAGAGGTGGGGGATGCCATGCCTGCAGCGAGAGGACTAGAGGGAACAGTCATGAGCTGAGACAGGAGAGATTCAGATTAGATGTTAGGAAAAACTTTTTCCCTGTTAAGGGTGGTCAGTCACTGGAATGGGTTGCCGAGGGAGGCGTTGGAGTCACCATCCCTGGAAGTGTTTGAGAGGCATCTGGATCTGATGCTGGAGGATGTGGTTTAGGGGTTACAGCAGAGTGGCAGGTTAATGGTTGGACTGGATGATCTTGGAGGTCTCTCTATGATTCTATGATTCTAATATCAAAATGGGCATTAAGGCAGGAGAAACAAATGTGAAATTGTTACAATATGGATTTTGTAATATTCTGGGGAGAATGATAATAGTATTGTTGCTCTCAAGTGAGGCTAGCACTTAATTTGCTAGTTAGGAAAGAATAGTAGGAGGACAGTATTTATGGGAGCTTTCTGTGGCTCTGACTGTGTGTGTGGGAAAGGGGAACTTTGCCTCTGTAGGTCTTCCAACATTTGGCTTGTGTCCTATCTGAATGGTTTCCTTGTGGATGAGATGTGTTCCCTTGCTGCTTTGAAACATGGTTTTCCTGCCTGGAAGTGTGGGTGGAATTGAAGTTGGTCCTAAGTCTTATCATAGGTCATAAAATGAATGGTGGTTTGTGTGAACTTGGACTTCCTTTGTCTTCACAGTGTCATAGTTAATAGATGAGGAAGATGTTTCCCTCAAAGGGGTATTGAAGTTTAACCTGAGGACCTCTCGCTGCAAGTGGATTGTAAAATGAGCTTTAACTAACAAAGATATAGCCTTGAAAAGCCTTGAGTTTTAGAAATGAATTTGAGCTCTCAGTTGGTAATTGTGAAATAATATGGCAGCGTTTTGCAACGTTACTACTTGTGTTAGACTTCTGTCTTTTTTGTTTTGTTTTGTTGTTTGCATGTGTTTCGTCTTGCTTAGTTGCCAGGTAGAAAGCTGGTGTCCTCCCCTGTCTCTCCCAGTATTACCCCACATGAAGATCCTTCCCAGCAGTTCCTGCATCAGAGCCTGGAGAGGGTTTACAACCTTCAGCACCTTGACCCACAGGGCATACAGGAGCTGCTGGAATTCACCATCCGGTAAGGCTGCGAGCTGACCTGTTTGTGGGAAGATGGGGAGGATGAGGATTACCAATTTGTCTGATGCAGGTGCTTTGCTTCAGAATATGAGTGCTGTACTTTGCTGTCAAGCACTTAGCCTGACCTGCCTTCTAGAGACTGTTGTGATAAAACAGCATTCATGTCCAGTTTAAAATTAAACTGGTAATCTCGGGTCTGGTTCTCCCCCAGAGAACAGCCAGTGTACATTTTAGAGGGCATCTTCTCAGTGCATGGGGTAAGAGTTAGGTGAGGGTGCTCTTCTTGAACTGCTTGCTTATGGTAAAATACACTGTTTCTGTGGTTTGTGTGTGACAGCCTTGTGCCTCATTCTTAGTTTTGTGTCCCTGTAAGGGTCCCTCATTTTGATCCTGTTATTTGTAATGTACCTGCTCAATGTTTTGTTTTGTTTTGTTTTTGTGGGGGGAGAGAGGTTGTCCCCTTAGCTCTTCCATTTTCCAGGTTCTGTGGCCTTTCATTTAGCAAGAGAGGACCTGGTTCTGGTGCTTTGGATTCTCATTGCCAACTTTGGCATTCTTCATCAGTTTGCAAACCAGAGAGTTTTTCTTGGAACAGTGTGTCATTGCATGTTGCTGTCTGCAGCTGTATAGATAAGGGGGTGTGGTAATGCTTCTCAGTGTGGGTTTTATGCTGCCTCTTCCATTTCATCTCTAGACTGATTTGCACAAACAAAACACTTGAAAAGGATCCTTTCAATGCAGTCATCTGCTTGGAAAAAGGAAAAGTGCCTTATTTTGACAGTTAAAAAAACCTAAAATGGAATATGGAATTCCAAAAAAGCTTTATTCTTTTTCTTCCTCCAAAATATCAGCTTCTTCTGCGTGTGTAGCTGTGAATGGCTTTCACTCCCATCTGCAATGGAGAATAAACAGTGTGTTCCTTGCTGAAAACCCAGCTGTGGAACCTGTATGGTTTGCCCTCAGCTGTTTTGCAGCTACTGTGTGCCAGCCTAAAATATAGTAATAAATATAGTCTCAAATAAAATAAAACATAGTCTGAAAGCATTGAATGCACTAAGCACTTGAAACAGGTAGTCTCTTGGCAGGGAATCCAGAATCTTATGGGCACAAGGGTCTGGGAACCTTGCAGGCCATGACTGGTTTTGATTTTTGAGTTGATGGAAATTATTGGCTTGGTGTTTTTCCTGCTGGGATCACCCCCCAGGAAACCATACTAAACCATCTACTGTTTTCCATCTTTAGGAGAAAGGAGGATTTGGACAAAAGCAAAAAAAAAAAATTAGTGTTAAAGGTTATTTTGCAGAGGGCAAGGGTTCTCTGCACCAACAATTTGGTTGCTAAGAGGAAAGGGATAGAGGCAGCTCACAGCAGTGGATTCTGCCATGGGACATAACTCCCTCCTCCTTTGTCATTCTTGTCATCTGAGGAAATAACACAGATCTGGAGTTTGCAAAGAAGAACAGAGACATGTGGAAACCACATCATCCAACCTACTTGCAGTTCTTGTAACAAAAAATGAATTTTATTTTCTTAATGCACATCTTTGATTTTAAAACACATATGGCAGTAAAGAACTAAAGCCTTTTTGGGTTCCATTAACTGACACTTCTGTTTCTGTCAAATTAAAAGCTGATTGTATTACTACATGGTTTACAAGAAATACTTACACAAGATAACTGCCCAACTAGGTGGTGTGCATTATCAGTACATCAGATTCCAGCTTGGTTTAAAAAGGGCAGCTCTGTTTCAGATACACTTGGCTGCATTAGCCTGACACGTTCCAAACAACCTTTCCTAGCCAACATGAATAGTTTGATTTCCCAGCAGTGCAACACAAATGGGTCGTTAGCTGCTCTAGAAGTCTGGAGTGTTTTAAGTTAAATCTGGAGCTGCCATGCTGTAGGGTTCCCATGGGGCTGCAGAGTAATGTGGGTTGACAGACTTACTGCTTTCACCTCTGTGCAGGTGTCAGCCTCCTGGAAAAAGGCACATGCCAAGTCCCAAGGTGCAAACTGGTTTGTACTGTGTGTTTTGCTACTGGTTTTGTGCTTGTTTTAATAAAAGCAGGAGGCAGGAATAGCTGGCTTCATTGTTGCTGCATTGGGAATGTGTTTAGATTAAACCTTTCACTGTCTCAATGTTGTATTTTCTTTTTTTTTCCCCACATGCTTCAGTGATCTTCAGAGGCTTGGAGAACTGCAGTCAGAGCTGGCAGGGGTGGCAGATTTCACTGCAACTTACCTTCAGTGTCAGCTGCTCCTTATCAAGGTTTGACTTCATGTTGTTTTTTGCAGTGTCCTTCAGAACTGCCCCCAGTCCCTCACAGTGGTGTGCTTTTGTGTTTTGATGTTTGTGCTGAAAACTGATGCATGATGAAAGCACAGGTTCCATGGATTTCTGATAATCCTACCTCCCTCCTGTGGCAAATTGTTTATGCGGTAGCTTTGCCAGTGAGTATACCAGTGCAGATTTCTGCTGCTGTACCTAGGGCTTATGGTGGTTCATGGGCATTTTGTCAGTGCAGAGTTTATAATCTGTCAGGAATTGCAATGCGGGCAACCATTCTGTAACCTTTTTATGTTATGAGAGTAACTTTTCCCTGCCTGAGGCCACTGGAAGGTTTTTTTGCTAAGCTGCTGCTGTGAGTGGGGTTTTTGTAGACAATGATTTGCAGACAACATTTTTGGCATCAATGCCAAAGGAGTTCTTAGGACTTGACTGAGCAAAATATCAGTCATGCCTTCTTTTACAGTGCCGAAATGATCAATACCTGGTGTTAGCAGATGAAGTGGTTCCTGTGGCACCGTGGCAGCAGCCTTTTTCAAAGTTAGCTCTTGCTGTAAACAGGAACTAATTTTTTGCTTCACAGAATTATAGCATGGTTTTTGCTTTGGAAGAGACCTTAAAGATCATCTAGTTCCATCTCCCCTGCCATGGGCAGGGATCCCACTGGATCAGGCTGCTCAGGGCTACAAGCTGGCAGTAGTATTTAAGTTAGTCTCCTGGCACTCTTTAGTGTTTGAGTGTAACTCAAACACATGTAAAGCAAGAACTGAAACAAGCAACAAACAGGTTTCCAGAAGGGACTCAATAAAAGCTTTGTTATGCAAAACTGAGGAGGGATTTCAGTTGCTTTGCTAAATGCTTACCTGCCAGTTGGCATGTCTCATGGCAGGCCTTAAGTCCTTGGAATATGTTCATCACCCGAAGAAGGTATTTTAGATGAGCGGTGTTACAGTTCAGTACAATCCCAGCTAAATCAAAAGTGAAATCTGCTGTCCAGGCAGAGTACCAGCATTTGGAGATGGCTTTGTTGTCCTTCCCCAGGGTTTGAGTGGAGTGAATGAGACGGTTTTTGTATTTGGCAGAGGAGTGTTCTGTTTGCAAGAGCAGTGTAGAAGCTGTGTCAGCCATTCCTGGTTTGGACTGCAGTACAGTCAATAGATCAGCGATGCAGAGGAGTCAGTAATGTGGCTGGAATGAAAAGTAGCTCATAACATCATGGAATCACAGAATGGTTTGGGTTGGAAGGGACCATGAAGATCATCCAATTCCAGCCCCCTACTGCAGAGAACCCAAATGTCAGAGCTGCCCTTTTCAGTAGATTACTTTCCAGTTGCTTCCTACCCCAACAGAAAAAAAGCTGTTGAGACAAAAAGTATCTTCATTTCCCAGCTGCTTGAGGCTCAATAGGTTCCAGGTCTTCAAAGGCTCTACACACCCTGTAATTTTAGGGGTAGCTAACTGGGATTCCGGGGCCAGCCTGGATGAAGCATATAGCCTGTGTGTCCTTGAGCTTTGACTGCAGCCAGCTTTGTGTGTAGCTGTATGTAAGGACAGGCAGCTTCAAAAATAAGGCAGTGATATAAATCATCCAGTCAAGCTTTCTAAATTTTTTTGAACATAAATCAAAAAGCAAATGGGGTGTGGTTAGGTGGTTGGCTTTTTGTTTCGTGGGGTTTTTTTGTGGGTTTGGGTTTTTTCAATACAAATACCAGTGGCCAATTTACACTCAGTATTCATAGTAACTCCAGGATCTTTGGTGGGGTGGAGACTGTCAGTGGAAAAGTTCAGAAATATGACTGTATAAGTCTGTTTCTGGGGACAGTTGCTTTTGTTTCCACTTTTTGCCTGTGATCTGAGGTCTTGGTCTCAGGGTGGTGATAACAGTGGGCTATTGTTTTTCTTTATAAAGTACAAAAAGTTTGGCTTGGCCAAAATCCCCCATTCACAGCTTTGTTAATGCTATTTTCAACTTCTGTTTTTCTGTATTTTCTAGTTGTATAGGTATCTCTGTGTGTTTATAGAGCAATAAATATTTTGGAGGCCTTGGTTCCCTGTGTTATATTTAAAAGCACAAAATAAAACTTTGGCCTGCTTTTTCAATCAACTGTTTAGACTGAATTGAATATTTATCATTTCTTGGTTTTCTTCTTGCAGGCCTTGCAGGAGAAGTTGTGGAATGTGGCAGCACCTCTATACCTGAAACAGAATGCCTTAGCATCTGCTGCAGCAAAACAGGTGAGGTAGAAGCAGCTGAGTCTGCATGGACTTGCCTAAGTCCTCGGGTACAAGTCCTTCCTTGACCACACAACAGTAATACACTTCTGACCTTCCACTGCCGTAGTCATTCCAAGTGAATCTTAGTTCCCCAGAGTGGAGTAATTTCTCTTAACTTCAAAAGATGAGTGCTGAGGAGAAGAGGTTCATTATGGCTGTAAAAATGCAAACATCACACCCATCTTCCAGAAGAGGAAGAAAGAAGAGTCAGAAAACTGTGGGCTGCTTGTCCTTACCTCATTCCTGGGGATGGTTATGGACCAAATACTTGCAAAAGCTCTTTCTAAACAAGTACAGGTCAACAAAATGATTTGGAACACCTAAAATGTATTTCTCAAGGGCAAGTTATGGCTGGCCAACATCATTGCTCTCTACTGGGAGGAGCTGGTGCTGTGAACAAGGGAAGGGCAGTGGATGTGGCATCTCTTGACTTCAGCGAAGCCTTTGATGCAGTCTCCCATCATTTCCTTTTTACCAAACTGGCAGGATTCCAGCTGAATAAGTGGGTGATAAGGCTCCTCCGAATTCAGGAACCAGTTGATATGCTGGAGGGCATGGCTGCTGGTCTGGACAGGCTGGGGAACTGGGATGACAGGAACCTCGTGATGTTTGGCGTATGAGGATCCGGGTGGACAGTGCACTGGACATGAGGTGGTACAGGAGGCCAACTGCACCTGGGCTGTCATGGTCTGGGGAAGTGATCCAGCCTGGGGCAAGTTCAGCAGAGGGGCCCAAAGTGGTCAGGGCCTGGAGCACATTCCCTGCAAGGAGAGGCTGAGGGAGCTGGGATTGTCCAGTCTGAAGAAGAGAAAGGTTCAGGGTGGATTTACTGCTGTCTACCGCTGTCTCATCATAGGATGTAGATGAGACATAGTGAGATTGCTCTGGACAAGAGGCAAGGGGCAGATGAGAAGTTTGATTAGATATAAAGTAAAATTTACTGTAAGGGTGGTTAAATACTGTAACGGGTTGCCCAGAGTGGTGGGAGGAGTCTCTGTCCTTGGAAGTGTTTGCAATTTGATGTGGCCCTTAGTAATTGGATCTAATTAGACCTGCTCTGAACAGGGGACTAGGCTAGATGACCTCTGGAGGTCCCACCCAATCTGAGTTATTCTAATTTTCTGATGTATAAGTGATCTGATCCTGGAAAAACTGAACCTAAGCCCTAAGAAAAACTAGAGAATAAAGCAAGGTATTAAATAGTCCGGAAACAAATCTAGGGTAAAACCAAGTTCATGAATCTGCTGGGAAACTCTGCTAACATTTTGAGTCTTCAGGTAATTAAGATGTAATAGGCTGTGGTGTACTGCTGTACATCAAGGCCTTCTCTGCTGATGATGAGTAGAAATAAAAGCCTTCCAGCTTTTTAAATCTTGATTGAACTGTCTGTCTTGGGTGCCCTTTTCAGTAGCATGTGAACCCCTTGGGAAGTTTTATCTGTTGTCATGCTGCACTGTAGATCACTTCCCATCAGTGGAAGGTGAGGGGATATTTCCTGCTAAATAACTTGCAAGTTCTTGGCTTCTGTACGGTCATACTGAACTCAGCTGTATTCATTTGAGCTCTTCTTGTCCACTTAAGCCCATCTACTCAAGAGATAAAGTATGATGAGTAAAACTGTGTGATGTCCCATCTAAGCTGCTAACTGTGTATCTAATATAACCCAAGGTGATAGTTACCTTGTGATAATTCCCATCTTCAGCTGCAGTGCATGAAGCATTGTTGAATTTAAAGTCGTTTTCAGAAGAAATTGTCTGATCTGGCTCCAAAAGTATAAACCTGAGCAGGACCGTTGAGGTTGCTCCATTGTGCAGCTCAGTGGGACTTGATGAGTGTTTTACCCTTAGAAATTTAAAATGCAGTATCAAAAGATAGACTGCTGGTGGAAGGAGTGTTTGATTTCAGGCCAAGTTTCATTAGTTGTTTCTTTAATATAGCCAAGATAACCTTTTAGTGTGAGGTACCACTTTGCACCATGAAGAATTTCACCAAAGGAATGAGGCTTATGGATTAATGTGTTCCTCCATATGAGGAAAAATACCAGGGTCTTGTGGTCATGCTTGTGCCAGACTTTAACAGTCTGTTTTGATTTTCTTTTGTGTCTGGCAGATCTTGGAAGAAACTTATAAAATGGAGTTCATGTACAGCGGAGTGGAAAGTAGACAAGTGGTCATTATTCACCACATGAGACTGCAAGCAAAGGCCTTGCAGCTTATAGTGACTGCACGTACCACTAGAGGGTAAGGATGACCTGGTCAGAGGATCTTCTTAGGGTTGGCTGTAAGCTTAGTTTCCTGAAGTTTTGTTTAAAAAAGCAGCAAGGATAAATTAGACACATAAAGCATCACAGCATGCCAATAACCATTTGCTGAAGTAATCAGAATGAAGAGCCTTCTTTTGCCTTTGGTATAGCTGTATAGTGACATAACCCTATATTAGATAGCAAAACTATTAGGAAAATGAGATTTGGGGTTTGAGTTCTCTTGGCTATGAACGTATAAATAGGTTAAAAACGTAGCATTGATATTTGAGTACTATGTAAACGAGGAAAAGTCATGAATCAAAAGAATTAATTCATATAATACTTCTCTAAGTATTAGTTGCTGAGTTTTCAGCATCAGAAAAGCATTATCTTTCTGATCTGCAACTAATGTGTGTGTGATTCGATCACAAAGTGCTCCTCTGCATGTGTGGCTTAGGTATGTGAGAGGCTCCAAGTGGGCCATTGTGGCTGCTGAGGTTAATTAAGTGACACGTTGGTTTTGGTGGTTCTAGAATTAGAACTCCATTTGGTGGAATTAGAGCAAAGTAGTTTGTTTGCTTCTGATTCAAGTTTGTTGCCATCAATTTACTCTGTTCCCATAGCAGTCCATAATATATTTGCCTTTTAGCCTCTTGCTTTATAGATAGAAAATTAATATTTTCTAACAGTGGCTTTGGGAACTTAATTAGTGCCTTATGCAAATGCGGGGGTTTTGTGCGAGAGGGATATGGGTGTGGGGAACACTTTTCTGGCCTCAAAATTGTGAGATTTCAGTTTTTAGGAGCTTAGACTGGATTCCAAACCACCTAAATGCTTATAGCCACAGAGCCATTTTTCTTTCTTTAAACCAAGGCACATTATTTTCATTACAGAGTGGAACCCCTTTTTGGGATGTGTGAAAAGTTCCTACAAGAAGTGGATTCCTTTCAGAGGTGAGAAATTTCATTGCTTCTTCACTTTGTTAAAATGTGCCACCACCATTGTCATCAGGGGATATTCCGTTTGTTTTTCACCTTGTTGCATCTCCCTTCCCTGATGTCCTACATTGGGAACTATCATGGGATAATAAAGCAAGAAGGATCTTTGTAGTCCTCAACATGAGGATGTTATGCTGTGCTTCAGGAACATTTGCTGTGAATTAATTTTTTGTAGAATAACTGATTTTTTTCTTGTGTTTATGAGAATTTATCTGCCTTAAGCGGATGCTATTTTTATAAATACTGCAGTTCCTTTTCGTTACTCTGTTGGGGAGTCCTGATAAAATTTGACCTTTCAAGGATTAATAAAAAACCAGATGACCCTTGATGTACTCTACATGTAGCAATAAGTCAAACAGCAATTCTGCAGTATCTTTCCTGGCCTTGTCTACTGCTTTTGCCACCTCTTAGTAGCCACCTTTACTTTCAGGGGAAATAGATGTATTAAGTGTGAATTTTCATGAACAGATAGATTCTAGTGGAAGGTTCCCTGCCCATGGCAGTGGGGTTGGAACTAGATGATCCCTTCCAACCCAAACCATTCCATGGTTCTATCATTTTATGAAATGGTGATGAGTTAGTTCTGTTGATCCTGAGACTCGGTGCAAGAAGAAGATATAAAGGAAATGAACAGTTCTATTCTCCAGCTGTCAAATGAGCTAGGCAGTAGGGCATGGGCAGATTCTGTCTTCTTTTTTCCTCAGTTAGCCAGCCGCAACTGCGAAGCATATGGAACACAAATGTGAATTTAATCGGAACTAGAGATAAAATTCTGCTCAGCCAACTCAGGATACCTGTGTCTCTGCACTTGCTATCCAGTTCCCTTCTGAGTCATAAAATCATAGAATCACAGAATGGTTTGAGTTGGAAGGACCTTAAAGATCATCTAGTTCCAACTCTCCTGCCATAGGTATAGACACCTTCTACTAGACCAGGTTGCTGAGAGCCCCATCCAGCCTGGCCTTGAACACTTCCAGGGATGGGGCAGCCACAGTTTCTGTGGGCAGCCTGTTCCAGTGCCTCACCACTCTCACAGGAGAGAACTTCCTCCTAACATATAATCTAAAGCTCTTGTAGTTTTAAACCATTCCCCCTTGTCCTATCACTATCTGCTTGTGTAAAGCATCACTCTCCCCCTTTTTTATAAGCTGCCTTTAAGTACTGAAAATTCTCGATGAGATCTCCCCAGAGCATTCTCTTCTCCAGGCTGACCAACCCCAGCTCTCTGTCTGTCTCCATAGGAGAGGTGCTTCAGCCCTCTGAGCATCTTCATGGCCTCCTCTGGACTTGCTCCACAAGTCCACGTCTTATGTTGGGGCCCCAGAGCTGGACATACCACACTAGGTGGGGTCTCTGGAGGGCAGGGAGGCAAGGAGAATCACCTTGCTCAACCTGCTGGTCACACCACATAGCCCTTGATGTTTTCAGTTTGAGTACAAGGCATAGCCCCAACACAATTAGCCAAAATACTCTCTCTTATGTATGAGATACACATCAGAAGATGAATATATGGATCTAATTCTGTCACTATAACTAAAGATAAGGATTAAGTGGTTTAGATGAAAATAACAGTACTCTGGAAAAAGTATTTGATTTTTAATTTATTCTCAACACAGATGTTTCATCTCTGAGCTCCCACATATGCAAGGCAGTTTTGTAGATAAATTGCTGGACTTAATGCCCAGACTTGTGACATCCAAGCCTTCAGAAGTGGTTAAGATTCTTCAGACAACACTGCGACAAAGTACCTTCCTTCACCTTCCTCTTCCAGAGCAGGTTGGTTTAACACACAAAATTAAAATGCAGTATCCTTGTGGACTGTCTAAGCAGCCAACTAGTTTGTAATATACCATGAAGCTTTTGTAGTTTAGGTTCTTGGTCAGTCACAAGTGTTATTTCTTCAAAGGTTTCATCTTCTTACCTAGCGTCCTCAGGACTACTGCAAAAAATATGGAAAACTTAATAATTCCAGGCAGTATCTGAAAAAAAAATTCCAAAGTTCATGCACTCCTCTGTTAAGAACAGTAGTAAATTATTTGGGGTTTTTTCCTCTTTCCCCCACCTTCTTACTTTTGCCAATCACTTTGCCCCTAACAGCTCCATAGAGCTACTGCAAATATCATTGAGCCTACTGGTGAATCTGATAATCCCCTGAGGTTTACATCAGGGTTGGTTGTGGCACTGGATGTTGATGCAACTCTGGAACATGTGCAGGATCCCCAAGGAACTGTTAAAGTTCAGGTAAGAAGTTGCTTGACATAAATGCAGACAAGATTGTGTCTTGCGGGGAGTTTCTTTAAAAGATGTCAGTACTTTTAAATTGCAAATAATTATCTGCTTTATTCATAACAATGTTGGATTTCTGTCGTCTGAACACACATTCAGAAACTTGCTTATCTGTAGCACACTGAGTTGACTTGGATGCAGTTTCTGAGTGCTTTCAGCACTTTGATGTCCTTCTGTGCTTCCACACATGCTGGGCATGTCATGGACATGAACACAGATAAATGCTGGTGAACTTCCAGCTGATGTAGTGGGAGAAGGAGGAGCAAAAGAAGTTGTTTGAAACAGCACAGAAATATGTCGGCTCTTGGCAATCTGCATTTCCAGCTTTTCTTCCTGCTGCTGAATCACTAGTTTCAAATGCAGCTGAGGAGGAAGGTGTGGTACAATCCAAGTAAATTGTGCTAAGTCACTGCATAACAAAGAAGTGCAAACGTTAGTTACAGTGCCCAAGGAAAAAGCTAATGTCAGTGTGGGTTTTGCCACCTGTGCTGTGGGTCTGAATGGCCAGCGTGTGGCTGTTTTATCTGGAGCAGCTGGACTCCTGGTTCCAAGCTAAAGCCCACCTTCCTGCATTCCCAACTCAAACAGGAAACACCCAAGTAATGCGCACGGTGCAGATCCCCAGTCCAGTTGTCATTCATTTGTTTCCTTGGGTTTTTGTTTCCCTTATAGGTACTGTATCCAGATGGACAAGCACAGCTAATCCATCCGAAACCAGCTGACTTCCGAAATCCAGGCCCTGGGAGGCACAGGCTGATAACTCAGGTTTACCTCTCGCACACAGCCTGGACAGGTAACATTAACGATACAAGTTCACATGATTGTGTGGATGCACTTTTCTAAGATACAAGTGTGTCTTGCTTGATCCCAGTCCCCTGTCTGTAAGACACACGTGCCCCCAGTCTGGGGGGCTCTGAGAACCCTGGAGGCTACAGCTGTGGTTGGTGCTTCCCTTAGTGTTGATCAGGTTTCTGTTCTTGCAGCCTCTGAGCAGTTAGGGCTCCCTGGCTGACAGGGCACTCCTGCTCTGTAGGTGACTAAGGCTGCTGTCTTGGGAGAGCACTGGGAGCCTGTTCAAGGTGAGGTCATGCCTTTATGTGCAGCTGTAGGAGCCAGGTCTGCATCCTCATGTAAAGGCAAAGAGTCACAGTAAACTGACTCCTTGTAATTCATTGTTTGGGATCTGACAGGTATACGACCACAGCAGAACCTGTGGAACTCTATGTACACAGCAGCACAATTTCACTGCTGATTAAACTTTCACCCTTTTAATGCCCTAAAAACCCATCCTTTAGCTCTGATGAAATATGTGACTCCAGCGTTGACATTCAGTCTCAGCTGGCATTCACATTTCCCCACGGAAGCACTTCAGTAATTGCCTTGTGGACTTCAAGCAACAAAAGCAGAGAGTATTTTGTTCACAGCTCCCTTTGTCCTCTTTTCTTTTAATCCCTTCATGTTTATTCAGATGTGGGGGTTTTCTCTGAGCAGTTTTTTTTCCTGAACACATTTTAATTGGATTTAGTGACCTTTGTTTGGTTACAGAATTTTGTTTATTGCCATGTTCCTTCACATACTCCTTTTTATACAGTGCTTCCATGGTGTACTTGCTCATCCTGCTGTCTTTGTTTTGGAGAAGAAAACAGGGTATTGTTTCTATGACTGGAAGTATCTGGGCTTAAAGATTGATCCTGTACCAGAGGGAGCTGAATGAAGTTGTTATTTCTGCTTCTGCAGCATTCACTGGAAGGGCATTTTAAGTATGGCCCTAAGGGATTCTGTCCTGGTGCCTCCTCTAGCCATTATTTTAATTATTAACTTTGACATTGGCACTTAGGCTTATAAAACAGGGGGAGGACACTGAGCTGGGAGGGGTTCAGGAAACAGGGCCAGAATTAAAAATGGAGAAATTGCCTTAATTCAAGACAATGAAATTCATTGAAGGCCAGTAAAAAGGGAGTGCTCAGGAAGGAGAATGTACAAGTGGAAAGCACAGAACAGGAGTGATAGAGGTGACTGCAGGCTGCAAATAAGAGTTGGCAGTATGATGGAAAGGTGAGCCTCAGGGAGGTGTTAGCTGAACTGTGGGATAACTGTGCAAAGGGGCTATTTCCTATGTTCTGTCTGGTGCTGATGATGTCTCTGGAGTCCAGCTGATGATGTGCTGGAGCCACACTGCAGTTCTGGGCATGGCATCTTAAAGTCTTGTGCATTTCAGGTGGTTTCATTTAGCTTTCATTAATGTGATCCTATTGTTGGTTATCCCTGGTGTACAGTTAAGCTCCACACACTACCCTGTGCTCCCTCCCCAGGGACAGGGAAGAGAATCAGAAGGGTAACATGAGAAAGCTCATGGGTATTACACTGTTCAGCAGTAGCTGCAGCATCCCTGTGTTATCAACACCATTTTGGTCACAAATGCAAAACATGACACCATGTGATCTATGATGAAGGAAAATCAACTTTATCCCTGCCAAAACCAGTGCAAGTCAATAAGGAAAACCTTAAAGGAATCTGTTTTTCAGTTTAGGAGGAAAATTTTGCTGGGGTTGTAAGTCCAGCAGGCTGCTCAGAGTAGTACTATATAGACTGAAACACCATTTTAGTTATGACCACTAGGAGAAGAGTAAAGTGAAATCATTCTATGGACAGTATTAGGAATACCTGCTTAGCTGCAGTGTTGATGAATGAGGAAGAAGCTGTCTCACAGTGCAAAAACCTCCAACAGAAGAGAATCTTCAAGTAATCTCCTGTCCTGCAAGTCTTATCAGACATCATCTGGATTGATCCTGCCATAAATACATAAGCTGGGCCTGCTGGTTCTGTGGGATTTTTAAAGTGATTTTATTATTTGTTTGGTGTTGCTTTTAAATTGTTTATGCAAGTTGCTATTTATAAGTTAGTGCTGAGATTTATTTTTTTTAAGTGATGACAAAGAGGAGGGGAACCTAAGACAGTCTTTAGTTCTGCCGTGCTGAATGTAATGGCAAAGTTGTGTCTTCAAACACTAGATTGGATTCAGGTCAGCCCAGAACAACGGTACTTACCCAGCATATGTGGGATAAAATTCATTCATGCAGTGACAGTTATGTTTGGGTTGTTCTGGTTTCTTCTCTGCAGAGCCATGTCAGATTGAAGTGCGGTTGCTTCTGGCTTACAGTTCCAACAGGAGCAAGGCATCTGCTAGAACTCCTAAATCCACCTGGAACGAGAGCTTGGAGGCTCTCCCACCATCTGAAAATGGCATAGAGGGGACCATACCATTCAGCAAACCTGTCAAGGTGTATATCATGCCTAAACCTGCCAGGAGGTGAAGTCTGTCCTAAAACAAACCTATTTCTGGGATTATTGGGTTACATGAAAATAAGACGCTGTGTCCAAGGTAGCAAACCAAGCCAAAACAGCTCTACACATGCATGAAAGAAGTCAGCCATCAAAATAAATCTGCTGAAGAGCAGTTGTCTCCTCTCTTAAGCATCACAGACTAATACAGGAGTTATTCAGCTAATGGAGTGGTTTCAAGAAAACACAGGCTTTTCTGTATTGACTCAACCAAAACAGGACAGTTCTCAGTCAGCATTCCAGTAGTAATCTCACTGGGCCATATCTTCAGTTTTTATGTATCAAAAGTTTCTCTCCAAGGCCTGTAGGTTTTCTGCTGTGTATTTACTGTGTAAATGCTTGGGCACATAAATCAATGGCATTTTTACAATACTCTGAAGTGAAGCTGAGGAATTGAGGGTTTTGTGGGGCTTTATTGGCTTTGGTTTTGGATGTTTGGGTTTTTTTCAATGTCTGAAACTTATATTTGTGCACAGATACCTAAATTCTTAGTCAAAAAATATTCTAAAGTACTATTTTTCTTGTGTGGGAGCTGCACCTCAAAGGGAAATTGCAAATTGCTGTAGGCTAAACCCTGAGCTGTTTTACGTCCTCTACAGTTGTACTGAAGCTGGTACAGCACTGGGGAGGGCATAGGTTTTGCATGGGACAGGAGGAGGAGGAACCTGTTTGTGCAAGCAGCAGAACTTCAACAGGACATGGACTTAAACCAAGCAACACAGCAGCATGTTACTGCTTTTGTTCCTTTACATAACACAGAGTTGAACATCTCAACCCCTGAGTTGTAATCCAGCTCTCCTGCTGCACATTTGTACATCTTAAGGAACAGTGTGATTGCATACCAGTTGGAAAGTTCCTAACCCTGTCCCCCTAAGTTTTACAGGATCTATTTCTGTGTAGTGGTCCTGGCCTGCATGAATCTTTGCAGGATGAAAAAATCCATTTCTATGTTTTTCAGTTCAGAAGCACTTTTGGCACTCAGTCTTTCTGATCAGCATTCAGCTAAGCAGCAGTCAGGCAACCTGTCAGTGTTCCCCTCTAGAGGTGAGCTGGGGAGTATGGAGGGACAACAGCTTAGCAAGAACGTGATTCATCTGGCATTTGTGTTGGGAAATGTGGCTGTGCATCGCTTCTGCATGCCAGGCTTTAGTGGAATGAGGAACATCCTATGATTTGTAGCAGTCCTTTGGTAGGGTTTTCTAGGAGGACTTAATGTGTGAAACATTCTAGTGCAGCAGACAAGTGTTACCTGTGTTCATAAATCAGTTGGGTTTTTTTTTAAAAAAGGGTGTATTTTTAGAAAGTAAACAAAGCAGTGAAGAAATACTTACCAGTTGTACAGAGATTCCTGTAAGTAATAACCCCTTAGGTGCTTTCCTACAATAAAATCGGAAAACTCATGCTAATCTGTTTCTTCTTTATTAAACAAGTGACCATAAAGGCCTGCATGGTCCTTGGCTAATATGATTACTGCATGTTTTTTGTGACTTTAGTTTTTTAGCACTGACATGCTGTGGCCCAAAGACTCATAACCATAAAACTTTGCTGCTGCTTCTTTAGGTATCCTTGAATTAAATGTCCTTTCTCAGTGCTACGGCTATTAGAAAATGTTTTTTTTGGTGTTTCACCTCTAGGCCACTGCTTTGAAAACCTCCTGCATGTCTGACAGCTGAGTTGTTACTGTCTGATTTGTCTTTGGCATCCTCAGTTCAGTTCCTTGCAGACAGGGTTGATGTATCTCTCATTAGGAAGCTGTGTCTGGGCACATACTTTACGAGCTGAGCTCATTACAGACTTTTTGCTTCCTCTCATTTTTACACCTCACTAGTATTTCTGCAGTTTGTCGTCCCAATAAAGTTTCTAATTTAAATGGTGTCCATATGCTCCAGGCCACGACGGATGCTGTGGTAGGCATAGCAGATATTTTCGAAATCAAAATTTTGGCATCTTTTTCTAACCAGTGGATCAAATATCTACTATTTTGTTCCTGTTGTGCTGTCCTTGAGCTCCTTCCAGCTAACATACTAGGCAAAGATCGATTGCCTTCTGTATTACCACCCTTTGGAATCAAATACTGAAGAGCTGTAGAATTCTTCATCTATAATTTCAAGACGCCTATGGAAATGTAAGACCAGTCCCTCAGTGAGAGTCGTCCAAAGTTGGTTTCTCTTCTGTAGATTTTTCTTGGATTCCTAGTTTGGATCATCGAAGAAATCACATGTTCTCCTTCAGTTTCACCTATTCAAGTAGGTAACTCATTCGTCATCTAATCCACACCTGCTCTCTTTCAGTTTGCAGCCATTCCCCCCTGCTCTATCACTCCGTGCCCCTATCAGAAGTTCCTCTGCACCTCTCTTTCAGTACCTAAGTACCCTTTAGGTACTGAAAGGGGCTCTAAGATCTCCCTGGAGCCTTTTCTTCTCCATGCTGAACAGCCCCAACTCTCTCAGCCTGTCTCCACAACAGAAGTGCTCCAGCCCTCTGAGTACCTTCGTGGCCTCCTCTGGACTCGTTCCAGTAGCACCACATCCTTCTTGTGTTGGGGCCACAGAGCTGGATGCTGCACTCCAGGTGGGGTCTCACGAGAGCACAGTAGAGGGGCAGAATCACCTCCCTCAACCTGCTGGTCATGCTGCTTTTGATGCAGCCCAGGACACAGTTGCTTTTCTGAGCTGCCAGTGCAGAATGCTGAGTCATGTTGAGCTTCTCACCCATCAACACCCCCAAATCCTTTGCCTCAGGGCTGCTCTCAATCCATTATGCATCCAGCCTTTATTTGTGCTTGAGACTACCCTTTTCACACCATGTTCCAGCATATGGAAATTCTGACAGGAAATTTGTATAAAAGGGAAGTTCTGTTGTAGTTTAAATCTAGATGTGGATTTTTTTCTTCCCATCCCAGGTTTGAGACATTTAGGTAGGTTTTCCTGCTCTCAAAAATAGCAGAGTTCATGCGTTTTGTGGGGCTGCAGGACTTTGGGTCATCTCAGAAGCATTTCTACCCATTTACTGGTTGTCTTTTGATTTTGGATAATTGTTGGGCTACTGCACTGCAATAGCCTTATGAGATGATTGTTCTCAGAATGAAAAGGGGCTGCACTCACACACAAAGATAATTTGCATCTTTCATATCTGTTGAAGACGGAACAGAGGACTTCAGATCACAATCACACAAGTACAGGGAGATTCAGTTCTCTTAGAGGGTTCCAAGTGTAGGAACATGGTGCCAGTACAGCTGCAGGCACAAGGAGATTGAGCAATCTACAAGGAAGGGCAAATAATGTGCTAAAAGCTAACATTATTTCAAACACCTCTGCATTGTACCTCATAGTTAGGTGTAAGGGAAGAGGGTCAAGAATCTAGCAGAGCAAGGAAAAGGCTGACCTCACATGAAAGAGGTGTAGGTTAGTGGTTTGGGAATGTGTTGTCCTATTTGCCATCAACTTTCTAGACTTAATTACACATAAGGGAAGCCCAGCTCTGAATGCTTTTAATGGGGAGATTCATCCTCAGATTGCTGAAGTTCACTAAATATCAGGCCAATTCTTAGAACTTTGCGAGTAAATAATGCAGTTATTGAGTCAAGAGCTCTTAAAACAACACATAAATGTATTTGGAACAAAGTTGAAGCTTATGAAACATTAACTCGGACCGGGTGTGGCTCTCATCTATCTTATTTTTTAAAAAAAACAAAACAGTAAGTGGGCAGGTACACTCACTGCAAAAAGTACAAAGCAAGTTCCTGGGAAGACAAAAGACCAGGGCATGCATTTAAATCAGGACTGTATGACATCATTGAATCATTCAGGTTGGAAATTACCTCTAAGATCATTGATTCCAACCATTAACCCACCGCTGCCAAGCTCACCACTGGACCATGTCCCCAAGTGCCACATCCACACATCTTTTGAAACACTTCCAGGGTTGGTGACCCCACCACTTCCCTGGTCAGCCTGTTCCAATGCTTGACAACCCTTTCTGTGAAGAAATTTTTCCTAACATTCAATCTAAACCTCCCCTAGCACAACTTGAGGCCATTTTCTCTTGTTCTATCACTTGTTTCTTGGGAGAAGAGACCAACCCTCACCTCACTACAACCTTCTTTCAGGCAGTTGTAGAGAGCAGTAAACTTCTTCTCCCCTACTCTGCTCTCATGAGACCCCCACCTGGAATACTGCATGCAGTTCTGGTGTCCTCAACATAAGGAGGACACAGAACTGTTAGAGCAAGTCCAGAGGAGGCCACGAAGCTGATAAGAGGACTGGAGCATCTCCCCTGTGAAGACAGGCTGAGGGAGTTGCGGCTGTTCAGCCTGGAGAAGACTGCGTGGAGACCTCATAACTTCTCAGTATCGGAAGGGGTCTAGAAGGGAGCCCAAGTGGGACTCTTTGTTAGGAATTGCAATGATAGAACAAGGGGTAATGGATTCAAACTGAAGGAGGGGAAGTTTAGGTTAGATATGAGATTCAAGTTTTTTACTGTGAGGGTAGTGAGACATTGGAACAGGTTGCCCAGGGTCGTGGTGGCTGCCCTGACCCTAACCGTGTTCAAGAACAGGCTGGATGAGGCCTTAAGTATCCTGGTCTAGTGAGGTGTCCCTGCCCATGGCAGGGGGGGGTGGACTAGATGATCTGTAAGGTCCATTCCAACCCTTAAATTCTATGGTTCTATGAAACCTCCCACCCGAGCCTCATCTTCTCATGGCTGAACACCCTGAGTTCCCTCAGCTGCTTCTCATCAGACTTGCACTTTGCACTGCACTGTACAGATCTTCATCTTGGGTTCCAACTCAGACATGGATTTCCTCTGGATTCCTGTCTTGCTTGTCTTGAGTTACAATCACTCTTTTCAGCAAATTTCACTTGCATCTTCCATTTTATTCTTAGTATCAGGCACCAGGAGTGCAGAAAGGCTGACTTTTTACATTTGCTAATGCAATATTAGTGGGACTTTAAAAGGCTTGTGGTGCCAG